CCATTTCTTAGTTTGGCATAGTCTTTAGGTCTCTTGGGCTACACTCCTCCGTGCAAGGGATCTTCAACAACTAGGTTCTTGCCTACATTGTAAGTCCAGATGGCATAGCCCCATGGAAGCCCGAAGCCCAACAAATCAAGAATAAAAAACAAGAAATAAGCAAAAATAAACAATAACAAGCAGACGGCGAGCACAGGCAGGACCAGGGGGCCATGTTCCTAAAACCACAGGAAAAGCAAGCAACACCAGACAACATCACACAAAGTACAGAAAAACCTTACACAACACAATCATCGCTACAGACCGCCGCATGTTCGGCATTCCTCCACCCCAAAGGGTTTAGGGTTTAGAGTTTAGGGTTTAGGGCTTAGGGTTTAGGGTTTAGGTTTTAGGGTCATTAGGGTCACACCCCTTCGCCACTCTTGTGAACACATCCTGAACTATAGGGCTAAACGCGTGAAGCCGGAACATGGGGCTTAGGGTTCATGCTGACTAGGGTTCCACTTGAAGTAAGAATCAAGAGTGTCTCAAGCGTCCGGCAGGCTGTTATAGGTTCGCTATTGGATGTTACAGAGTTTTTCTAGCTTTCTTCTATTGAGGTTTCGGGTACAGCAGCAACAGTCCCCAAAAAGGCAACACTACTTCCCAGACAGAGCTATGCATCCTACCAAAGACGTCTGCAAGTATACGACGGGCGAGAGCTCGCAACAGTAGCGCAGTGACGCAAAAGCAGTGGCAGCAATCACCTACTACAATCTACCAATTCTTAGCAGAAGTCGGACCCTTTTTTGTTCTGAGCCCTAAACCACCAAGCCCTATCCCAAAACATACACCCCGAATCCTAAACGTAAACCCTGCTAAACCCCAGAAGCCGCTGAACCCCGAACTTTCAGACAGCCCTGAACCCTAAAACCTTAGACCCTACACCCTTTGAGATCCCTTATGGATCACCTTCAAGGAGCCCCTATTACCCCGAGCCCTAAACATAAGCCCTGAACCCTAAACCCTACCCTAGACCCTAAAAAGGCCCTGAAACCCTAAACCCCTATGGGCCTCCTTTAGATCCCCCAACCTTATGGACCAAATGACCCTTAAAAGTAGGGGCCCTATGCCCTTATACTATGAATCCCTATATGGTCTATGAACCCTAAACTTCTTTTTAGGGTTCATTTGGTCCTTAAGGAAGGGTTTAGGGTGTAACGAACCCTGTAGAGGAGCCCCGTACTGGGAGGGTCGGGGGACTTAGTACGTAGGTAATGAGTAGACGTAAGAGCACCTTCAAATGGACCCGAGTAGGAGATATGATACTTATCACCCTCTAAAACTTAACCCTAAACCCTAAACCGTCCAAAAATAACTACTTACTAAGTCCCCCAAACCCTAAACCCTAAACTAGAATAACTACTTACCACGTCCCCCGACCCTCTAAGTAGACGACCCCTGAGCCCCTCCTCCGGAGTCAGCTTTGGGCGGTTTGCGCAGTCTGCCGTCTTCTCGGCGAGCCCAAGAGCCTCCCCACTGTTAGGGGTTGCGTTGAGGGCCGTTTCCTAGGTAGTATTAGGGAGACCCCTTAAAGGGGACCCTTCTGAACCCTACTTGTAGCCCTCTTAAAGGGGACCTTATTGAGAGGGTCTATATTTATCAGGGTCCCCCTAATCCTAACTCCCACCGTTTAGGAGTTAGGGGCTTTGGGTTCAGGGGTTAGGGGCTTATGGGATCCTTGTACCCCCTTACTGTTTTCAGCTTTTTGGGGGTCCCGCAAAGGGCTCTACGGAGGGTTCCTGTAATGGATCTGGGATTTTATAGGGTCTTGGGGGTTGGTTTAGGGTTGGTTCCATTACGCCATAAACTTACGGTTTAGGGTTTAGGGTTTAGGGTTTAGGGTTGAAACTTTACAAAGCATAAACCCTGAAGCCCCCTATAAGCTCCACAAGCCCCAAACCCGAAACCCTGTACTACGGCTGATGACCTAAAATCCTGCATTACCTTGAGGACCCTAAACTATGGGAGTTCTGGTATATTTCTTGTCGTGGGTAATGCAGGATTCATACCATCAACAGTATGAAGCCGTACACCTTAACCCTAAACACTAAACGCTAAACGCTAGTTGGTATTGCTCCCCCGAGTACATGACCCCTAGCCCTGAACCCTAAACCCTAAACCCTAAACCCTAGCCTAGCCCCAAAAATTCGAAAGTCTCGTCGTGCAGCAAGTAGGGGAGGCTCCTAGGCTCGTTCCAAGATCTTTCCTAGGCCAGGGGAGTGTTTCAGGGTTCAGGGCTTTAGGGCTTTAGGGGTTTAGGGTTGCAGGGCTTAGGCTTTAGGGGTTTAGGGCTTTAGGGGTTTAGGGTTGCAGGGTTTAGGGTTCAGGGTTTACGGGTTCAGGGTTTAGGGTTTGAGCTTTAGGGGTGTAACGTTTAGGGTTTAGGGCTATCAGAGGTGAAGTGGCTAAGCTCTAAACCGTTAGGGGTTCCTTGCAGGGTAACTTGATTAGGGCTACTATGTTATAAGGGCTCCTATGAGTTCCAGCGAATGTTAGGGTACAAAGAACTTTGATTTCTCCCAGCACATTGAGGGAGGAGCTCGGAGTGGCATGCTTACGTCTAAGGGTTTAGGTTTAGGGTTTAGGGCATCTTACCTCTAAGGGTTCGTTTTTGAGGGCATTAAAAGCGGACTATAGCTTGGAGCATTCCTTTGGAAGGGCATGATAGCTGATACAGGTTTTTAGGGTTTAGGGTTTGGGGCTACGGGCTTCTAGGGTTCAGGGTTTCTGTAGTGCTGTTGCGATTTCTCCGTGGTTTTTCACGTTGACTCAGGCAGTTCAGCCATTTTGTGCTTTTATGTTCTGGGCAAGCAATGTGGCGATCATCTGACTTCTGCAGGCTTTACATTCACTTGGGTCTTCATGTGTTCCAGGTCCTTGTGCGCTGTAGGGTTCAGTTGAAGCGCCGCATGTGCTTAGGGCACTGTAAGAACCTAGGCTCGCAATGCCGAGTTCTTGCTAGAATTTTGCTAGATTTCTTGACTTCGTATTCTATAAGAATTTCTGGTAAGGGCTCGACCATTCGGATTCAGAACTTTGCCTTCATCAAAACATCAAGTGCAACAGCCTTGCGGGCTTTTGCTTGAATGTGAACTTATGTAGCAGCTAACGGTTTAGAGTCCCGAACAACCCCATGATGCAGTCGAGGCTCTCCGCTGGAGCTTCAGGGTTTAGGGTTTTAGGGTTTAGGGTTTAGGGTTCAGGGCTTCGGAGATTAACGGAGGTGAATAAACAGGCTTTGTACTACATCGTCCCCATACGAAACAACAGCGCATCATATCCCCAACCCCTAACTCTAAACCTTAACCCGTTCTTAAACCCTTGGGCCCTGGTTTAGATATTTTATATATATAGTATATGTGTATATATAATATGTTGTAATATATAATATAGTATAACATTATATAATATAATATAATATAATATAATATAATACAATATAATATAATATAATATAATAGAATAGAATAGAATAGAATAGAATATAATTTAATATAATTTAATAAAATTTAATATAATTCAATATAATATACATAATATGTATATATATATATGTGCATATGCATACATACATATATATATATATACATACATACACGCACACACACACATTAGATCGCTCTCTCGAGTCGAGCTCCTCTGGCGTTTGCACACACCCTACTTCAAGGATCCCGGGACTTAGTAACTAAGTTTGGGGGTACATAGAGTCGACGCTGGGGCTATAGGTATCCTAAATCGGGGATTCCTACTTATTACCTTAAGACTTGTAGTTTAGGGTTTAGGGTTACTGAGTCCCATGATCCTTCAAGCAAGCTAGCTGTCCGCGCGCATTCCATGCCATCGCCGCCACGGCGACATCTGCCTTGGGCTGAAAGCCGCAGCACTCGAAGAATGTCCAAGCCATCCCAAAAGAATGCCTTGTTTTTGCCGCTCTATGGCTTTAAAGGTTGGGGATTCGGGTTCAGGCTTTGGGGTTAAGGGTTAAGGGTTTAGGGTTTAGATTCTAGGGTCTAGGGTTGAGATTCTAGGGTTTAGGATTTAGGGTTCAGGGTTTAGGGTTAGATTAGAGTTCTGGGGTTCGGTTTTGGGGCTTGGAGTTTGGGTTCAGGGTTTAGGGTTTAGGGTTTAGGGGTTTAGGGTTTAGGGTTTAGGGTTCAAGCTTGTCCTTTCTTGTCATCTGGTTTGAACAGCCGGTTACGGGGCCATCGTCTCCGAAATGGGTTCTTGGAATGGAACTAAACTTAGGTTGCCAGAAGGAGGAACGTTTCTGTATAAATAGATAAATACATATATATATATACACACACACACACATATAAACAAATAAATACATGAATATATATATATATACATATATATATATACATACATACAGGCACAGGCATCTAAATACCAGCGCAATGCTAGGCAGTTTTGTTTGGGTTCGATATCTGCGCTTCGCAGAACAACTTACCACTGAGCCGTAAGCTTGCTGTTCTCTCGAGGCAGACAACCCTAAAGCCGAAACCCTGAAACTACCAGATCTTAGCTACAGGACCTGGGTTTAGGGTTGTGGGACTTAGTTGTTTTTTGTTGGCTTCGGGGCTTTGAGTTTTGGGTTGGAGGGGTTTAGGGGGTTAGGGGAATTGAGTTTATGGTTTTTCGTTTCGGGCAATCCTTAAGCTCCACGCTAAGACAGCCTGATCTTGAACTCTCGACTCAACCCTACCTCCCAAAGTTAAAGGGTACTAGGTATTGCCTACATCATGATAATAACTCCTAATATAGAATCCCTACAGTCTACTAAATGTGATTGCTTAAGGGTTTAGGGTTTAGGGCCTTTGGACCTCGAGTTCCTTGTTTTGTGTTAACCAGTTTTATGGCCAGGGTTCAGATAAAAGGGTTTAGGGTTTAGGGTTTAGGATAAAAGAGCAAAGCTAACCTGAGCAGGAACTACAAGTGCGACTCACTGGGTATACATGGCTGCAAAGGACCAGGCAGACGCCGAGTATCACACAGACTCTCCTGAAGGCCACAAGTACGAGAATCACGACAATAAGAATGAGCCGGACCAGGAATTCCAGGACAAACAGCCCGAGAATGAAGATGGTGCGGATGCCAGGCAGCAGCAGCCGAAGGTGAGTGACAAGGTGACAGTGGCCACATTTAGCAAAAATGCGGCTGGATATGGGAATTCCACAGGACTGCAGCACTCCGGAGCAAAATGCAAAGACCTCGGAAACGGAACACGTGGTGAGATTGTCCAACCAGCCCCGGTAAAAGGACGCAGTCTATGGAACAGTGGCACAGAGGAACACCGCGCAAGCGACGTGTGGTACTGTACCCAGGAGGAGATCAACAAACACCGCGAGGCCAAGATGGAGGAGGAAGTCCAACGGCGACTACATTCGGAGAAAGAAAGAGAACGCACGGAATCGCTGTGGGGCCAGCAGCAGACGAAAGGCAATCGAGGATGGAAGGAGCCAAAGCAGAACAAGGCAAAACCCTAAACTGTAAGTTCTAAGCTTTAAGCTGTAGTAGTTTGTAGGCAAAACCCTGAAACCCTACATGCTAAACTCTAAGCCTTAAGGTCTAGTAAATCCTTAAACCCTGAACCTTTTATTGCCCCTAAAGATAGCCCACGTAAACCCGTACAGGAAATTTGCCTACACCCGAAACCTCCCTACTCTACTTCGTCAAGCATCAGCAGGCTTCGGTCCTCGGCTACGTGTCCAAGGCTCACCGTGCAGTGCTTTGGGTTTAGAATGGTTTAAGGTTTAGGGCTTGGGGTTTAGAGTTGCTAAATTGGAGTTTAATATGAGGGGTTTAGGGATTCAGGTATTTCGAGTTTAGGGGTTTGAAGGGTTTAGGGTTTCTTTTAGGGTTTAGGTGTTTAGGGGTTGGGGATCGCTTTCACGGCGTGATAATTTTCCAGGAAAAGCCTTGGATTTTCGAAAAGTTACCAGTTGTCCAAGAATTTGCTGAATAGTACAGGGCCCGAGTTATTAGTAATCATGCTCCCTCGTAGTATTCTTGCTCTATAGTCCCTAAACCCTAAACCCTAAACCCTAAACTCGAAACCCTAATGATAGGAACAAGGCCGGTATACTGCAGCTCCGCGATGCACGTTCCGTCATAGTAACCCCAAGTCCCTTTTTCGGTAGTTTTCTAAGTTAGGGTCCCGTTTACGATCCCGTTTTATGAGGGTGCCGTACTATATTTGGGATTTAGAGGGGGGCACTATGCTAATTTAGAGAGCTGCCCATATGGCTTTACGGTAGGAACAAGGCCGGATTCATAGCTCTCGCTGTTCAGGCAAAGGCTCTCCAATATAAAGATCTCGAGGGCTTAGGGTTTAGGGTTTAGGAATGAGTCGTACATAATTAGGGCTTAGTGGGATTGGGTTTATGGTGAGGGTTTGGGGTTTGGGGCCTGGGTTCGGGGTGTAGATGGGTTTAGGAATAGCGGGCAATGACCACTATATCTTCAGCTGACGCAAAGTTGCCGACAGGCACGTGTTGAGGTAAAAGTCTTGCCAAGGGCTTTACAAACTAAACACTGCACTCGAAAGCCCAGATGTGTGAGAGTTGTTTCGCTCCATGCTACGATTGGCTGCACGAGGGTTGGAGGACGAGGACAAGGTCGAGAAAGTTTATTGGGTCGTCAAACTTTCCCTAAGGGTCCAAGTAGGCCTTATTTTTGATTTTAGGTACCCAAAAGGCCCCAAAGTCCTTAAATAGTGGGCACTTGGACCCTCAAGGTATGTCATAGCGTCTTTCCATGGTCTTAGTCCTTTATTGTATTGTAGTACAACATGCGCCAGAACCCCAGTCGAGTTTAAATTCGAAACCCTGATGGCTTAGTAGGTTTTGGCACTTGGAATTTAGGAAATGTAGGGTTTAGGCTTGAGATGACAGATCGCACGCTGCCAGCACCTGTTTCCATGTTGCTATATCACTCGTAGGATTCCTTTCGACTGCCGTTTCTAGCATCTTGGGTTTAGGGTAGAACCCTGAACTCTTACGTAACTCTAAGGCCCTAAAACATGCAACAACCCTAAACCCTAAACCCTGTACCGCTCACATACTGGATAGTACCCGCCTGCTAGCTACAATAGGGTCCCACTCGCGCCCTCGTCATACCAGGTCGGAGACTCGCTATAGTAGTAGGGTGCTAAACAGTTTAGGTTTAGGGTTTAGGGTGTTATAAACAGTTTAGTCGGGATTGGACGCAGTTCTTGTAGATATCCGTTAACCTTGCATTGTGCACATAACCGCGCGTGCTACCCCTCCAAACCCGAAGGCCCTAAGCCCTAAACCCTGAGACCCGTAATCCATTCAAAGGTGCCCCAACAGTCAGTACCTGAGTTGTAGCGTCTGGGGTGGGGAGGACTTGAGCGTAGCCTCATTTGAAGAGAAGAGCGAAGACATGGAACTTCGTAGTGCACTCAGAAAGCCTCAACCACAACTCCTTGAAGCCATACCCGTAGCGACAACCCTGCGAAATAGTAGGTTATGATAAGTTATGACTCAAGTGCACTCAGGAAGCCTCAACCAAAAACATCTTGAAGCCATTCCCGTAGCGACAACCCTGCGAAATAGTAGTTTATGACCCCTTAAGTTCCGTGCATGCCCGTCAAAACCCTGAATCCTTATCGCTCATAGATGCCACGACGGAAACCCTAAAGAAACCCTACGGGCATACTGTTGCTCGAAGCACCGGAAACGGTAGCCCCTCGACCCACAATTTGAACCCCAAGCCCTAACACAAAACATCATGAGCCCTAAACCCTAAACCCTGAAGCCCGAAACCTAAACCCTAACCGTTAGCGTTAAACGCCATGAAGCCCTAAAGCCCTAAAGCCCTATAGCCCTAGAGCCCTTGAGCCATAAAGCCCTAACCCAAACGTGGGCCTCAGCTCTCCCAAAAGCTTTCCGCGGCCCCTCATGGATGCCGAAACACGAGACACCAAAGAGTCCGAGGCAGGGTCGTTACCTCGATGACACGGTTTAGGGTTCATGACTGAGGGCTTATCGAGTGTAGGGCTTAGGCCCAGGGTTTGAGAGTTTAGAGTCTCGGGTTTAGGAAGGGTTGGGAGTTGGAGGAGTTTGGTGTTTAAGTTTAGGGCTTAAGGTTTGCTCTTAGGGGTATAGAGGGCTTTAGGTTTCGGGTTTAGGGTTCAGGGTGTAGCACAGAAGCGCGAGAGCATGGAGTAGGCTTTTTACTTTTAACCATCATGATCATAGACTTTAGTAACATAGAGACTACAAGAAATATCGGACCTGCATCTTAGGGCAGCCCCTGAAGCGTCCTTTAGTGAAGAAAACAGGGCTCTAGCGAGTTTAGGGTTGGGGTTTTGGGGGGCTTAGTTCCTTGACTGAGTTCGGGGCAAAGATGAGTTTGGTCTGTTGAACCTAAACCCTAAACCCTAATTAAACTCTAAACCCTAAACCCTAAACTCTAAACCCTAAGCCCTAACTCTAAACCCTGAACCCTAAACCCTAAGCCCTAGACCTTTACAATAAGCCTCAGAGGATTTTTGTCAGGGCCTTCCTGGAGCTTCACACGGGGTTTAAGGTAGGGTTGAGGGTTTAGGGGTGTAGGGGTTTTGAGGGTTTAGGGTAAGTTTAGGGTTTGGGCGTTTGGGGTTTTGGGGTTTTCGGGATTTCGGGGTTTAGGGTTTAGGGGTTTGGGGACTGAGGGGTTTAAGGGTTTCGGGGTTTGGGGTTTATCTTGTAAACCAAGCACCGACCTTGCCAGGGAAAGATCTCTGTGAGACTTTCATACGGTTGATGATATAAATCCTGCATTACCCATAATAAGGGATGTACCACAATTCCCATAGTTTAGGGTCCTTAAGGTCATCCAGGATTTATATCATCAACTGTAGTTGTTGTTTATGCTTTTGGGTTTAGGGGTGTAGGGGCGCGCGCTGGGAGGTTAAGATTTGAGAATTTGAAAAAATTCCCTTGTGGAGCCCTTCGCAAATCCTGTCAAACATGAACGCACCATAGCAAGCTTGTTTTGCTCCAGGCCGTGGCAGCCCTTTTAACCATTCGAGCCCATCCCTTTGTAGACCATCGCCCGAAACCCGAACACCGTACACTTTGAGCCTTCAATTCTCAGCTGTAAAGTCAAAGCCCATCTTTGCCCATCTAAGCCCAGCCCTAAACCCTAAACCCCTAAGCCATAAACCCCAAGCCCTGAGCCTTAAACCCTAAACCCTAAACCCCAAGCCCTAAACCCTAAACCCTAAGCCCGACAATGCCCAAAGCACACTCCAGGCACCTGTTGGACCTAGCTGCCGGATCTGCCTTTGTGCTGGGCCGGAGGCGTCGCTTCGGTACTTTGAGTTGAGGGCTTTTGGGGGTTCAGGGTTCCTTTAAAGGGATCTTTAGGGTCTAGGGCTTATAGTATAGGGTTCCTTTAAAGGGATCTCTAGGGTCTAGGGCTTATAGGGTTCCTTTTAGGGATCTTTAGGGTCTAGGGCTTATAGGGTTCCTTTAAAGGGATCTCTAGGGTCTAGGGTTTATAGGGTTCCTTTTAGGGATCTTTAGGGTCTAGGGGTTTAGGGTTTTGGGGTTTAGGGTTTTAGGGTTTAGGGTTTAGGGGTTTTGGGGTTTAGGGTTTTTGGGGTTTAGGGTTTTTGGATTGAGGGGCTCAGGGTTTAAGGGCTTAGGACGACTTGGGACTCCGGGTTATCGAAGTCCCTGTGGGGTTTGGGTCTTCGGAATTCGAACTCAGTCATGATGGTTGACTTATACCTTGGTTCCCGAGTAGTGCCCTTTTGCCCTTTGTATTTGGGGGTCTCCTTATTAAAGCCGAATATTAGGAAAAAAGGGTGCCCTTATTATTAGGGGCTTACTGGGGAACCTAGATACATACCCCATAAATGCATACATGCAGTCAGACGGTTGATGATATAACCCGGAATAAGGAATATACCATAAGTCCCATAGTTTAGGGTCCTTAAGGTACTGCAGGATTTATATCATCAACAGTACTTCTAGACATATGTTCACATGCGACACAGCGGCAGGAACACTGAAAAGGGCAATTGATCACACAGCTACAGGACGGTCTTGTCTTCCGCCACTCTTCTGTGGCTGAAGATGGAGTCGTTCTTTTGGGTTGACAGTGTGGGGTGTTAGGTTTAGGGTTTGGAATGTGGGGATTTTGGGGTTTCAGCTGCGGAGATAGGGGTGTTCGGTTCGGCTTCGGTTCGGCTCAGGCTTTGTATGCCCTGGGTGCCGTCCCGAGGGTTCAGGGTCTTAGGCTGTGAGGCTTCTCTTGCGTTCATTGTTTCGAGTTGGTTTCGGTTAAGCCGCACCTGCAAAGGCTGTGTACGTTTTAGGGTTTCGGATTTAGGGTTTTCAGTTTCGTGTTTCGAGCGGCCCCGCTGACGGACGCAGCTGAGAAGGGTCGGCGCGTGTGGCGCGAAGCGGATGGTAAGACCCTCAGAGCATTGGGGGAGAGACCTATAAAGCCTATACTTTGGGTCTACACTCTACAACCCCTATAAGCCCTATAATGCCTATAATTGACCCTATAAACCCCGTAAGCCCTAAACCTAAACCCTACACCCTGAACCCTAAACCCTACACCCCAAAGCCTCAGCACTCAACCAACTACCGCTCATACTGCCCTCGTCTACCTCGGAAGCATGCAGTCCTCCAACGCGGATGACAACCTGACGTCAGTTCCTGAGTCGAAGCCTGCAGCAGCGGCGATGCCCGTCATTAGGGTTTAGGGTTTAGGGACAAGGCTCAAGCCGAAGCAGAGATGAAGGCTAATCCAGCGAGCTCGAACGACTTGCAACCGAGGCCAAAGCCAAACAGGAGGCAGAAGCATTGTCCCTGCTGAGCTCGGGCAGGCCTTCGGCACAGCTATGGCGCGAGTTCTCCTTCATCGTCGAACGGATCACTACCGTATCGGCTGCCATGCAAGGATCTGTGCAGGGCACTTTTCGGTAAGCCCCTAAGTCCTAAACCCTAAGCCCCTAAGTCCTAAACCCTAAACCCTAAGCCCCTAAGCCCCTAAGCCCCTAAACCCTAAACCCTAAACCCAGTAGTCTTAGGGCCCCTGGGAGCCACTCAGCCTCACAGGCGCTGCTGTCTCCTTGCCCATGCCGGGGCCTCAGGGTTTAGGGCTATGGAACTTAGGGCTTTTAGGGTTTAGGGTTTTAGGCTGTAGAGTTTAGGGTTCTTAGGGTTTTAGGTTTTGGAGCTTAGGGTTCTTAGGGTCTTAGGGTTTAGAGTCTAGGGTTCTTAGGGTTTTAGGGTTTAGAGTTTAGGGTTCTTAGGGCTTTAGGGTGTAGGGGTACCTCAAGGGATTCCTGAATGACAGAGATAAGGATCCCGATAAGTTTGGGATGTATAAGAGCTTCTCTGAGGGATTCATAAGGTATCTACAGCAACCTTTGAAGGAACCCTAAAGGAAACCCCCATAGTACCCATAGGTACCGAGACCCGTGTTTAGGGTTTAGGGTTTGGGGTTTAGGGTTTAGGATTTAGGGTTTAGGGTTTAGGTATATACTTATGACTCAAATTACCTGTACAGCAACTCCTTTAAGGTCTTCGACCCTAAACCCTAAACCGTGTCTTGAACCCTAAACCCTAAACTGTCTTAAACTCTAAACCCTGAACCCTCTTAAACCCTAAACCTTAAACCCTCTTAAACCCTAAACCCCGAACCGTCACTCCCCCAGCCCCCAACCAAAAGGGTCCTAAGTTCTTTTACAAACATAGTATGTAGGGGGTTCTACAGTAGGAATGACTATTATATGATTTGGGGAGGGGCCCTAAACCCCAAACCCTAAACCGTTTGAAATATACCCCATAACCGTACCTACCTTAAGGACCAAATGACCCTTTCAAGCAGGGGCCCCATACCCTTATACTATGAATCCCTATATGGTATATGAACCCGAAGCCCTTTCAGGGCTCTTTTCGTCCTTAAGGTAACCCTAAACCCTAAACCGTTTAGGTAGGGTTTCGGACCGGGTCTGGTCTTGACTGTGGCTCTTTAAGGTAGGACCCTAAACAGGGGAAGCGCTACGACTAAGGCCGCGGCTCACTGGGCTACGCCCACCGAAGTTGCCTGGAGAAGGACTGCTCGGGGATTGAGGATTTTGGGGGGTTTAGGGTTTTGGGTTCAGGGTTTTGGGTTTGGGGGTTTAGGTGTTTAGGGTTTAGGGTTTGGGGCTCAGGGTTTAGGGTTTGGGGTTCAGGGTTTGGGGTTCAGGGGTTTGAGTTTAGGGTTTAGTGTTCGGGGTTTACCGTCGCTCTAAGGGTCCCACGAGCGCTTCCTTTAAAGGGATGGGGTCTAAGGTTCCTTGGGTTCCTTCAGGAGATCTGTAAGGGATTCGGGTTTAGGCTTTAAGGCTTTAAGGTTTCAGGCTTGGGGGCTTGGGGTGTAGATAGGGTGTGTGGAGCTTGGGATGTTTTGAGTGTTCAGGGTTTCGTGCATAGGCTTGACCATTTTAAAAATTGGGGTTGAGTATTCGGTCCCTGCATTTAGAGTAGTCTTTTCAAAAAGGGGGTTGAGTTTTGCGTTCCTTCATGAAGAATACTCTTAGTTGTTAAGGGTTTTGTCTATAGGCTTGACTCTGGGGTTGAGTTTTTTCCGGCCCCTGAAGAAGATGTTAGTAGTTGTTCAGGCTTCTAGATTAAGTTCTCAGCCCTCCACCAAAGTCTCACCCCTAAACCCTAAACCCCTAAACCCTAAACCCTTAAACCCTAAACCCTAAACTGCCCTAAACCGTGTGCAGGAGTTTCTCTCTCGCAGGGAATGGACCAAGCTGACGTGCTCTGTTTGAGCCATGGCCGACATAGGATGCTGTCGAACTCTTGGGGGTTTTGGGCTTATAGGGATATGGTTGAGGGTTTAGGGATATGTTTTAGGGTTTAGGGTTTAGGGCATATAGGGATATGAGGTTGGGGGGTCAGGAACTGGTTCGCGATTAGAGTTTTCGGCTCTCGTCCAGGTAATCAGGGCCCATCTTCCGGGTTAATTAGGGCCCATCTTCCGGGTTCAGAAGTCACGGTTTAGGAGTTGAGGAGTTGCTGTTTGGGTCGTCCAACGTCGTCCTGCAGGGATCGGAATGCGAGCAACTTCAGCCACGGAGGCTTTTCGACTAGGGCCTCTAGGGCTTCAGGGTTTATAGAGTCTACCCATAGGCCCCTAAGTAGTTTCTTTTTGTGGTTTATATTTAGAATCCTATAAGGTAATCCCAAAAGGAACTACTTAAGGGCCTATGGGTAGGGTTTTGCGCACAGTATATAGGAGGTTTAGGCGGTTGGCTGGTTGTTTTCCATGTCCTTATCTGCTCCCTGAAATCCATCAGGTCAAACCCTGAAGCCCAACATAGGGGCCCGAATACTAAGGACTTGGAGTGTTTAGGGTTTGGGGTTTTCAG